ACTCAGTCGACACGATGGTAGCGGCAGCATTGGGGACTATTTGGCGAGTAGCTCCCCAATTGGTTTTAACTTCGGCGTGTTTGTCGATGCGAGCTGCGATGTACTCGTAGTCATCCGACGAATCCCAAGCACTAGCATCCCCCCATGCTCCAGTTGCCTATGCCCATGTTCCTTCTGTTGTTGCTCCGGTTTCCCCTTCTACTGCCGCTCCCCAAACCCTTGCGTAGGATGGTGTTCCCCATCCTTGTGCAGGATCAGGAGCTGCCTGAGAGAAATCAAGTTTGTGCGCGGGCGAGGACGACTGGGATGGTAAAGGTGTCGTGCGAAAGGCGGTGAAACCGTGGTGATCAAGCATTTGGAGGTTGGTCTTGTTGCGGTGATGCCTCTGGGCAAGAGAGATGATGCGTTGGCTGTCGCCGCAGGAGGACTTTGATTTGCAGCGTAGAATTGAGATGCCATCGTGGGTCTTAGGAAGGCCGTTGAGAATGCTCCCGTCGACTTTCTTGGTGCCTAGGTAAAGTTCAACCATGCGATCGACATCACCGATTAAGTGAATTCTGGCTTCCATTAATTGCCCTCGAGAGAGTAGGTTGAAGCCGAAATCATCGACAACAAGAACCTTGCTGAAATGTAAGGGGACTCCTATATTGTCGGATCCCAATAGGACATTGCCTAGTGCCGCTACTGTTAATTCCTGATTGCTCGCCACTGTAATTGTGTACATATCAGGTTCTGCGAGTGCCTTCCAACTAGGGACGTACCATGTGGAGGAAACAATGCGGTGTCCACCACAAATATTGAGGAACCACGCGTGAATGTCATGGGGATAAATCCTCTTCGCGATTTGGGCGTATTGCTGCACGTTGAAGGTGCGCGACATGGCCTGGCATTCCGCTTTGACTTCCTCTTCATCGATCTCAATTGGCCGTGGGCGCTTGCATTCGACTACATACAGCAATGGTTCAAGTGAGCGGCGATCACGGTTGGGATTGCTCACTTCTCCATGTCTTGCATAGTATCTAATTTCAACAATCCAATGTGCACTGACCATCCAGTTGACTATCAGTATTGCGTGATGTGCAGATCGTGACGAGGGAGAGGCAATGGCTGGTGGCAATTTAGTGCATCGTGGCGTCTGAACGACAACTTCTAGGTGTTGCGGCTAGGCTTCTGCTCGATGGCGGTCCTTCAGCTTTTGACAGTCATCGGCGAAGTGGCCAGCCTTTTGCAAAATTGGCAGATAAGTTGTTTTCAATTCTCCCGTTGTCCAGCATCACCATTCCTTTGCCCGACGTAGAAACAAAATTTATTCGCTTTTGCCTCGTTGCGTGTGTTATACAGTTCGAGATGATAAAAAATGAGTATCGCAATAAGGACCACTGGCCTGCGTCCTCCCAGCACTAACCCCATGCCTGATGTACTCGCTAGATAACGAAAAACCCTCTTAGCAGCCAACCAGTGCTGTGGTAGGTGTCTGCCTCTGGCCACAAAGCGAGCCCGGATGCTGAGGGGCTATGCGAGATCAGGACGAGTGCAAGTTATCACGTACATGAGGTAACCCACCAGCTCTGCGTAAGGACCACTGGTCTCTACTGACTCCTCAAGAACTGGAGCAGAGAGCCTATGATCTACTGGCAGAGGTGTGGGCTGTGCGGAGGAGAACTGAAGACCGAACCTCTGAAGGACCTGGTGCACCAAGTGTGACTGTGAGAGAGTGATGGTACGCGCTGGTCTGTCCCTGGAGATCTGCAGGCCAAGATAGCGGCACAACTCTTCTAGGTCAGTGCAAGTGTGTCTCCTCAGCAGCTTGGCCTTCACAGAGGCCTGTGCGTCTCTGTGTGCAGTAGCGAAGACCAGGTCGTCTACGTAGACAAGGATGTAGAACGGAGTCTGGCCAGCACGAACGAAGAGCGAGAGGTCTGTAGAGGACGGAAAGAACTACAGGTCAGCTAGTGTAAGACACAGCGTGTCGTGCCATTCACGGGGCGCCTGTCGCAGGCCGTAGACCGAGCGCCGGAGGAGCCAGTGGGTCCCAGGAGGAAAGGTACCGGTGAAGCCCTACGGTCGGCGAAGGTAGACCTGCTCGTGTAGACTGCCCTGTAGAAATGCTGTGGAGAAGTCAAGGGAGTGTAACTCGTTGTCACGCTGTGCTGCTACATGTAGCAGCGCCCGATGAGTAGTCATCTTCGGGGTCGGGGCGAAGGTCTGAAAGAAGTCCACACCCTCTCACTAACTGATGCCTCTAGCCACGTAGCATGCCTTGAACACAGGCGGCTCTCCAAGGAGGCACTTCACCTTGAAGAACCACTGGCCATCGACTACGTTCACCCCAGGCGGGGGAACTGCGTCGACATAGGTGCCGGTGGATGTCCAAGATGCCATCTTCTACTCCATGGCAGCTATCCGCTGAGAGGCCGAGGGTCCCGAGGTCGCCTCAGCGTAAGTGCGAGTCGTCGGGATGGCAAAGGCGTCTTGGTCACCCTCAGGGACTAGCAGCATGGAACAGAGATGGGGTGCAGCCTCGGACAGGAAAGCAAGCTCGTACTTCTGGCCCTCTAGGAAGTCATTGCCAAGGGCAGGGGCACCCTCGACAGACTGAGGACGGACAGGGTTTAGCGACCAGAGTGGTGACGTAGTCAAGGCAGCGAGTAGAGGCGAAGTCAGCGACAGCAATGACAAGAGCGGCAAGAATGGAGATAGGAACAGACGGGTCGGTAACGAGGGAGGCAAGGACCCGAGGAACAAGAGGACGAGTAGCACGAAGGTAGTCAGCCAAAGGGGGAGGCGCGACAACGAGTGACGACGGAGGAGTGGAGGGGAGGAGGGGAGGACGAGACGCGTGGGAACGAAGCAACATAGGGTGAGAATGCTGAACAGGAGAGACAAGACGAGCACAAGAGGGACGGCGAGACCAAACGTGAGACGGAGGCGTCAGGTCAGGAGACAAAGGAGGAGTAACAGGAGGGGAACAAGGTGGGAAAGGGGCCAAAAATGAGTTCGGCGGAGGAAACACAAGACCGTGGATAGGAAGGGGAGGAGGCGGCGGGGGAGGCGTAGGCGAGCAGTCAGGGGAGGGAAGGCCGAGCAGGCAAAAGGCGGACACCGGTGGCGACGGCTGCTCCTACGGCTGCTCGACGCCGACACCTGGATCACTACCTGCACCGCAGCCAACTCCGAAATACTCCACTCCAGCACCCCCATAACGAGCACCCTCAGAGCGAGAACCCTTTCCAGAACCGGTGCCACCCCCGAGCCCACTGTGACATGCCAAGACAGGAACCCCAGGACTAGCACCCTCCTCAACGCCAGCACCCGCAGAGTCCACGAACGGCTGCTGCTGCTGCAACGGCTGCGACTGCTGCGACGGCGGCAGTGGCTGCTGCGACGGCGGCGGCTGCTGCGGCGGCGACGATTGCAGCGGCGGAGGAGGAGACACTGGGGGAGAGGCAGGTGGCGAGAACTGCACCGCAGGGCCACCAGAGTCCGCCGACTCCTCGACGGGGACAACCGACGGGAGGGGAGTGACATCAAACACACCAGACGAAGCAGGACGGGGAGGGAGGTGAGCAGGGGCTAACGGGGGAATGGGAACCAGAAATAGGGGAGGGGAAACCGGGAGACCTCGGTGGGGAAAGCGGTGGTTAAAGGAGACAAACTCGTCGATAGTTGCGTCACGGGAGTGAAAGGAGCGGTGAGACGGCGGGTGGTAGAAGTGCCAGTCAAACGAGTCAAAGGGGAAACATAGGAAGACACAGGGGACAGTGCGGGCAATGAGCTTGTCCTTGCCAGAGGCACGAACGTGAGTGAGGCAGCCCCAGACATGAAACGCAGACGCGTCACCACGGAAGCCGGTCCAAAGAAGGGTCGGCGAAACTTGCGGCCACTGGGAGCGCGGCTAGAGGTTAAGCTGGCGAGCGGCGTAGCAAACGGCGAACGACCACAGAAAATGGGGTGCACAGGCATGAATCATGGAGGTACGAGCCACCTCCATGACCAAACCGATGCATCGCTCAGCGACCCCATTCTGCTGTGGGTAGTCCAGTAGGTTGTATGACTGGGTGATGCCCTTCGCACGACAGAACTATCCAAGCCGACCAGAGGCAAACTCGTCGTCACGGTCCAGGTGGAGACACAACACAGGGAGAACAACACTCCCGAGGGCAGGAAGCGAGGCAGGGAGACCTAGGACGAGACCGGCTAGGGGGCGAGGGGGCGGCTACGGCGCAAGGGGCCGGCTACGGCGGGAGAGGGGCCGGCTGGGCGCGAAGGGGCCGGCTAGGCGCGAAGGGCTGGCTACTGCGCGAGGGGCCGGCCACGGCGCGAAGGGCCGGCTACGGCGCGAGAGGGGTCAGCTAAGCGCGAAGGGGCCGGCTAGGCGAGGGGGCGGCTGGGCGCGAAGGAGGCCGACTTCGGCTCGAGGGGCTGGCTAGGCGCGAAGGGGCCGGCGGATGTGCTAGGGGCCGGCGAGGCACAGTAGGCTAGGGCGCGGAGCGGAAGCGGGTGGGTGGACCTTACCTTCTTCTGATACCATGTTAGAATACTAGAATGAATAGAAAGAAGAGAGAACAAGGGAGATATAGGGTTTGGGTTGTACTCTCTAAGAACACACACCTATTCTAGCCTATAACTTCTACATGCAAATGTATGTATAAATTGACAATGTGCTAGGCTGGAAACATGTGTTTCTGACGCAACTTCTGACAGATGTTTCTGGCTCGTGACAAGTGTTTCTGACAGGTGTTCCTCGAATGTCTCCATGGTACTGAAATCACAGCTTGATAGACGGCTGGGATGGTCGCATGCCACACCCACGTTCCTCCCTTGCTGCTTCACTCGTGTCTGCTGTCATTACCGTATTGCCGCCAAAAAAGCCGCCCCCTTTGTGACACCTCCCCTACGAAAACGCATGCCAGAAGTCTGGTGTAACTACTCCTGATGTTTTCCTGTGAATTTACGATGGTTCCATTTATAGGACCCACTTCCACGGTATGTGATAAGACCCGTTTTTTCTCCGTTTATAAGACCCGTTTGACTATTTCCAAACGGTATGTGATAAGACCCATAAGTCTTCTATCCGGGCTAATACGGTACATGAACGCTAACGCGATATGCAGCAGTGCAAAACGGCAGGCTCAGGGGCCAAAATCAGGGAGCCTGATCCTGAAATCTGTTCAGAAGGAATGCGCTCCCACTCAAAGCCTCACACTCAAAGCCTCACACCCAAAGCCTCACACTCGAATCCTCGCACTCAAAGCCTCGCACTCAAAGCCTCGCACTCAGCAACAACTGCTGCCAGCAGGCTAAGCTGCATTGCCCGTTGCCACCTGCCCCCCCTCAGCACCTCCTTCCCTCCTCCCAAACCCTCCCCTCCTCCCAAACCCTCCTTCCCTCCTCCCAAACCCTTCCCTCTTCCCAAACCCGCCTCCCCTCCTCCCAAACCCTCCTTCCCTCCTCCCAAACCCTCCCCTCCTCCCAAACCCTCCCTCCCTCCCTGCAACACTCCCACTGCTGCACCCTCCCCATGCGCAGCCTCCCCTGCTCCTGCCCCTCCTATGCCTTTCACTTCTCCGCCCCCCTCGCCCTTTCCCCCCCTGCCTCCCCTGCCTCCCCTGCCTACCCTGTCTCCCCTGGCAACCACCCTACCATCCCCCCACAGCTGCATACCACCACTTGCAATACGGCCTCTAACCGCCTGGGGCCCTTCGAGAGGAGCACTAGTCTGAAACCCAAAATCACCCTCAAACTTGCTGGACTCCTGACACAGCCTGTCCAGCTGCAGCAGAGCACCTGCCGTGAGGTTGGCACCTGACGGAACACCTGATGCATCTCTCGAGGGAACACCCGAAAAGGCTGCTGAGGGGGCACCTGATGAGGCTCCTGACCAGTTGCATCCACCAACCACCCGTTGCCACCACCAGGGTGCTCGCACACCCCCGTTACAGTCACTCAAACCTGCACACACCTCCATCTCCTTTATCAGGTGCCCCCGTACAGCACTAAGCAGCTCACCGTCTGGCACTGCCATCCAGTCCCCCCCACATTCCTGCCCCCCAAGAGTCACGCCTTGCACCAACAACTGCTTCTGCTGCCCATCTTGCCTCGCATGGCCTTCCCCAAAGCCAATCCCCTCTGGACTCGCGTCCCCCCCACCACCATCGTTCTCTAAGGCATCACCTTTGCCGATGCCCCTATTGCAGCACCCGGCGTGTTTATCACCCCCAACGTTGCAGTCACCACCACCATCCCTACCATCAGAAATGCAGTCATCCTCGTTATAAACATCATCACTGTGATGATCATTCTCCATCATATCTTCCCGCCTCCTTTTCACTCCCCTCCCGTCTCCTGAACACCCTCTATCTGCCAGCTCTAGTGGTCTTTCCTCCTGGCGATTTCTTTCTCCATCACCCTTCCTCCTCTTCCCCTCCCCTCCCTTCTCCACCCCTTTTCTCTTTTTCACCCCACCGGTCTCTTCCTCCTCCTCTCTCCCCTTGCTATTCTGTTCCCTGCCCCCGCTCTCCTGCTCCCTCGATTTAAAAGCAGCTTCGGGCGTAGGCTCGGGCACAGGTTCCAGCTCAGGCACAGGCTCGAGCTCAGGCTCGGGCCGAGCCTGCAGGTCTGTAGCGATACATCCGGTTTGCAGGAGCAGCAGTTCTGAGAGCGAACGTTTTCGTGGGGGGAGAGCTGAAGAGATGGGGTAAGAGGAGTGAGGGACACAAGGGAGGGAAGATGGCACTAGGGGAGGGACAGGAGGACCCTGATGGGGGGGGTTGGTGGCAGTGGGAAGTGAGGGAGGGGGGTTGGTGGCAGTGGGAAGGGAGGGAGGGGGGTTGGTGGCAGTGGGAAGTGAGGGAGGGGGTTTGGTGGCAGTGGGAAGGGAGGGAGGGGGGTTGGTGGCAGTGGGAAGTGAGGGAGGGGGGTTGGTGGCAGTAGGTGCTTGTGCAGTGTGTGCAATAGATTCTGATGCAGCAGTGGCAACACCGGGTGCTGGTGCTGCCGCTGCAGCATTAGGCGCCGGTGCAGTGCCTGCAAGAGATTCTAATGCTGTTGCAGTGGCTGTGGATACATTGGGTGCTGGGGCTGCTGCATACAGAGTGGTTTCTGAAGGTGGTGCCGGAGCAGCACTAGCTGATAGGGCGGCTATAGGCGTCGCTGCTGCTGTTCGTGTTGTTGCTGCTTCTGGTGCTGCTGCTGCTGCTGCTGTTGCTGCTGCTACTGCTGCTGCTGCTGGTGCTGCTGGTGCTGCTGGTGCTGCTGCTGCAGGTGCTGCTGCTGCTGGTGCTCCTGGTGCTGGTGCTGCTGCTGGTGCTGCTGCTGGTGCTGCTGCTGGAACTGCTGTTGCTGCTGCTGCTGGTGCTGCTGTTGCTGCTGCTGTTGCTGCTGTTGCTGCTGGTGCTGGTGCTGGTGCTGCTGTTGTTGCTGCTGGTGCTGCTGCTGTTGCTGCTGCTGCTGCTGCTGCTGCTGCTGCTGCTGCTGCAGCTGCTGCAGCTGCTGGTGCTGCTGCTGCAGCTGCTGCAGCTGCTGCTGCTGGTGGTGGTGCTGCTGCTGCTCGTGTTGCAGCTGATGGTATTTCCATAGTGACTGCATCTGCCCCCTCACTCACCTGCTGCACTCGGATGTGTCTTTTCATCCATCTCAGCCCGCCTCTCGTCCCCGGCCCATCACCCGCTTTTCCTCCTCCACCTTCTGATGCCGCTTCTGCCACACCCGCTCCTGCTGCTGCTCCTCCTCCTGCTGCTGCTGCTCCTGCTGTTGCTGCTGCTGCTGCTGCAGCCGCTGCCACATCTGGTGGTAAAGAACCACCACCAGCAGCAGCCGCAGCAGCGGCAAACTCACAGGGAGCATGCACAGGGATAAACGTAGTGCCCATGGCTTCTGAGACAAAGGAGCCCAAACAGCCCATACCTGATTCCCCTCCGTCACTCACAGCACCAGTACACGCACACCCTTGTGCTGCCCTTTCCCCCTGCTGCGGCCCCTCCTGTGTCCGCTCTCTTTCCCCGCCCAACAAGCCACTTGCTAGCTTTACCGCAGCAATCGGCCCCTGCCCGTGCCCGTGCCCGTGCCCCTGTCCCTGTCCCTCCCCCGGCTCTCTCCAAAAAGCGGATTTGGTGATGATAGCGGCGTACTGCCCCTTGTTCTTCCCGTCCAGCTGCCTCCGATAGCCGAAGAGCGCGGCAAAGAGCATGAGCGACTGCTTCTTCACGTTGAGGAGTTGAGGGGAGGTGAAGCCGTGGGATAAGACGATCTCCCGATAGGCCTGCATAAGGGGGAAGGGTTTGGGGGGATGAGGGGAGAACCGCTGCCTCGCAACGCATTTTGCCATCATGATCTCCCCATGGGCCGGCAAACGGGGAACGGCGAGGGGAGGGGAGGATGGGTTGGTGTTGAGTACCAAAGAGCACGGCAAAGAGCATGAGGGATTGCTTCTTCATGTTCAGGAGTTGAAGGGAGGTGAAGCAGTGAGATAAGAGGAACGTACCAATAGGCACGTACAAAGGTGAGTGAGATGAGATGAGATGAGATGAGATGAGACGAGATGAGATGAGATGAGATGAGATGAGATGAGATGAGATGAGATGAGATGAGATGGCCCTAGCTCAATTCCCAGAGATGGGACAAGCCTGGCAGCTCACCTCACCTTCGCATCCGCCAGGAATCTGGTAATCCACCTGGTAACCCACCTGGTAACCCACCTGGTAACCCACCTGGTAACCCACCCTAAACACGCCTGTAGTGGCGGTAATCCTACCCGTTGCAGGTTCCTTAGGAGGCGGAACAAGCGATGCACCTTGGCTCTGCTCTGGGCGTTGATAGGTTTTCGGTCAAGCCTGTTAGGCAGTAGAAGAAGCGTTGATAGGCTCACCTTGAGTAGGGGCGAGCCTATTCTTTGCAGGTGCCTGAGGAAGCGGAAGAAGCGAGGCACCTTGGCTCTGCTCTGAGCGTCCGCCAGGCCCCACTCTGCCGGGTCCCTCGCAAACTCCAGAAAGAGACCCGCCACTGCTCCCGTCTCCTCGTCCTCCTCTGCTGGTAGTGACGACTCAAATGCCACTCGTGACTCCTTTGCTCCTGAAGATTCCCCCAGCGCATCTTGACAGGCCCCTAAAGCCAAAGCCACTGCCGCACCCGTCTCCTCGTCCTCTGCTTGTAGTGCTGGCTCGACTAGCCATGGCCCATCACCCATACACCCCCCCTCGTTCCCTCCACAATCCCTCCCTTCATCAGCACACGGGTCTTCCCTCTCCTCCCAGAGCTGGCCGAGCCTCTCTTCCTCTTCCTCCAGACTCCCATCGGCAAAAATGAGCTCTTGAAACGACACTGCCTTTGGTGCTGCTGGTGCTACTGGTACTGCCAGTGGTTCCGGTGCTGCCGGTGCTTCTGGTGCTGCTGGTGCTGCTGGTGCTGCTGCTGCTGCTGGTGGTGCTGGTGGTGGGGCTGCTGCTGATGCTGCCATAGGTGCAACCAGGTGCCTTGGGGGAGGCAGAATTTCTGCTCTTGCAGCTGTTGCTGCTGGTGTTGGTGGTGCTGCTGGCGGTGGTGCTGGGATAGGGATGGCTGCAAGAGCTGCTGCTGGTGCTGCTGCTGGCGCTGCTGCTGCTGCTTCCGGTGCTGCTGCTGCTGGGATAAGGAGGGATGCAGGTGCCATTGCAACCCCTGATAACCCCACTGCACCACTTGTTAGAGCCTCTGAAATCCCATCTAAAGCCTCTGCACCAATTGTTAAGGCCACTGCACCAATTGTTAAGGCCACTGCACCACTCGCAATGGTCTCTGATGCGACAGCCTCTAGCGCTAAAGCCTCTGCTGCTCTAGCCTCTGGCGCTCTTGTGCCTCTTGTAGACAAATCCCGTGTGGTATCAACTACCAGTGGTGGCTCAGTTTCATATGCTGGTTCGGCGATTGCTGCTGGTTCGGCGACAGCTGCTGGTTTGGTTTCATGTGCCGCTGCTGCTACTGTTCCTGCTGCTGCTGCTCCTGCTTCTGCTGCTGCTGCTTCTGCAGCTTCTGCTGCAGCTGAATCGCTTTGAAGCGGTGGTGGTAATGGCACTGGCGGCAGCTGTGGCGATGGTGCTGGTGCTGCCATTGCTGCTGCTGCTGCTGCTGCTGCTGCTGCTGCTGCTGCTGCTGCTGCTGCTGCTGCTGCTGCTGCTGCTGCTGCTGCTGCAGGTGCGACTGACGCTGCAGGTGATGCTGCGTCCAATGGTGCTGATAGTGGTAGTGGTGGTGGTGCTACTGCTACTGCTACTGCTGCATCTGGTGTTTCGAGTGAAGCTGCTGATCGTGGCAGTAGTGGCTGCAGTAGTCCTGCTGCTGTTGCTGCAGGTGCTGGTGCTGTTGCTGCAGGTGCTGGTGCTGTTGCTGGTGCTGTTGCTGCAGGTGCTGGTGCAGGTGCTGGTGCTGTTGCTGCAGGTGCTGGTGCTGTTGCTGGTGCTGTTGCTGCAGGTGCTGGTGCTGCTGCTGGTGCTGGTGCTGGTGCTGGTGCTGGTGCTGGTGCTGGTGCAGGAGGCGTTTCATCTGAAGGTGCTGCTAGTAATAGTGGCGGTGCTGCTGCTTCAGCTATTGCTGCAGTTGCTCCCACAGTCAAGGGAGACACACACTTCGCTATAGGATCCATCTCCATAGCCTCCCTCTCTTGAGCCTCCCTCTCTTGAGCCTCCCTCTCTTGAGCCTCCCTCTCTTGAGCCTCCCTCTCTTGAGCATCCATCTCAACCGCTTCAGCCGAGCCTGCTGAGTGGATCAGATCACAAATCCCTTCCTGCGTCATCCCCTCAACTTCTTCCCCTCTCCGCCCCTCCTCCCCATTCTCCCCTTTCCCCTCCCCCTTCTCCCCTGTCTGCAAAGCCTTGGCCTGGAGAGTCGTCCTCCTCTGCCAGTGCACCAGGCCAGCTATTGGGAGACAGCGAGCAGAAGTAGCTCTCACGAGGGAACCATTCAGAGGCAGCTCTTCTAACCACGTGGCTCGTGGCTCCAGAGAATAACTCAAGGCTCGCCCTCCTCCTCCTCCTCCTCCTCCTCCCCCCTCTGCACTTCCCTCTCTTCCCTCACTCCTCCCATCCTCCCCTTCATCATCCCTCTCCTCTCCTCGCCCTTTCCATTCTCCCCACCCATCCACCCACTCCCACCTCCGGCCTTTGTCCCTGCTGCCCCCACCCTGCCCTGCTGCCTCTGCTGCCCCTGCCTCTGCTACAGCCGCCACCGCACTCCCTCCTGTTGCTCCTGGCTCTGCTACAGCCGGCACGGATCCTGCTGCTACAGATGGCATGAACTCTCCTGCTACAGACCACACCATTGGCACTATTTCTGCTACAGTAGGTAAGAATCTTGCTGCTGCTGCTGCTGCAGATATCCCCGCTGTTGCTGATCCGTCCTGTACTGCTGGTGCTACAGCTGCCGCTGCGGCTGCTGCTGCAGCTACTGATGCTACGGATGCTCCTGCTGCTCCATTCCCCACCGCCGCTACTGGTGCGACAGCTGGCGCTGCTGCTGCTACAGCTGGTGCAGCGGCGACAGCATCTGGAGCTGCTTCTGCTTCTGCTACATGTTTCAATCCTGATGCTACAGATGGTCTCGTTGCTGCAACGCATGCGTCATTTGTTACTCGTGCTAGTGCTACTTTTATCCCCGCACTCTCTACCACTCCCACTCCCTCTCCCTCATTCACCTGCTCTTGAGTCGACTCAAAAGCAGACCCATTTGCTACTGGTGCAAGTGCTACTGCTCCCCCTGCACTCTCCATCCCTCCCTCTCTCTCATTCACCTCCTCCCCTCCTTCCTCCCCTCCTTCCTCATCATCTTCCTCCTCCCCTTCCTCGTCCTCCTCCCCCTCTCCGCCCCCCAACCCATATCCTTCCCCCTTATCCTCCCCCCCACCAGCACCCTTCCTCCCCCCCCACCTCCCCTTCCCTCCCCCTCCCCACCCGCCCATCTCAGCCAATCGCGTCACGTGAATCTGCCAGGCTGGCATATCGGATATGATCTTGAGCAATCGGTGCTTCTTCCATGCGCGCATGTTGCCGGTGACTCCCAAGAGGTATGCAAACAGCTCCAGAGCCGTGCGCTTCTCCCGCCTCAGCTCGTCCAAGCCTATGCCGTGGGCGAAGAAGGCCTGCTGGTACGGCTGGAGAGGGGGACATGGGGGCGGGAGGGAGTGGGGAAGTGAAGGGGGGAAACGGGAGTGGGAGGGGAAAGAAGGGGGAGTGTGATGTTGAGCAGCCTGTGCTTCTTCCACGCGTGCATCTTCCTGCTGACTCCCAGCAGATAAAAAAGCAGCTCCAGGGAGTGGGGAAAAGAAGGGGGGAATCTGCTCTTGAGCAGCCCGTGCTTCTTCCACGCGCGCATGTTCCATGTGACTCCCAAGAGGTAAGCAAACAGCTCCAGAGCCGTGCGCTTCTCCCTTGTGAGCTCGTCCACGCCTATGCTGTGAGCAAAGAACGCCTGCTGGTACGGCTGGGATGGGGATAGACAGAGGGAAGCACGAGGGATGGGGCTTATAACGTGTGCCCCTTCTCCCGCCTCAGCTCGTCCAAGCCTATGCCAAGAGCAAAGAACGCCTGCTGGTACGGCTGGAGAGGGGGGATGGGAGTGGGGAAGGGACGGGGGGGGATGACTCAACTCAACTCGTCCATTCCGGAGCATGCCTATGCTGTGGGCGAAGAACGCCTGCTGGTACGGCTGGAAGAGGGGAAGAAGGCCTGCTGGTACGGCTGCTTTCTAGTCGACTCAAAAGCGTAGCATGCCTATGCCGTGGGCGAAGAAGGCCTGCTGGTACGGCTGCTTTTAAGTCGACTAAAACATGTAGCATCCCTATGCTGTGGGCGAAGAACCCCTGCTGGTACGGCTGCAAGAGGGCTGCCTATACAAAAAGCAGCAGGCAGCGGCTTCATTCCCTGCATATGCCATCTCCCTTCGAACATCCCCAACTCGTTACAACCACGCCCCCTTTCAACGCACAAAGCACTGTAGACACCACACGATACAACACAAAGAGAGAGCGGGTATAGGGGCCTCACCTCTAGCATCTTCGGATCTTTTTCCGCCATCTCCCTTATAAACTTCCCCAGTCTCGTTACAACCACGCCCCCTTTCAGCGCACACGCCCAGTTCTTTGGGTCCTCCAGAAACTGCCGAAGCACGCCGCCCAGCTCCTCCTCCCCCACCTGCCGCACGCGGACGAGGAACGCCGACCGGTCCTGGCGGGAGGCCGGCAGCAGACGGGCGCATTTGATTGGCCGAATCCTCCCTGGTGCGGACCTTTTTCTAGAAGTAGCCCCATTTACGGCAGGGACAGTAGCATTATAAACAATAGCTGTAGTACCATTATTAGCAAGTGCATTAGTAGAAGGTGTGACATTAGCAGGGGCATTAGCTGCAGTGGCATAGGCAGGAGCAGTGGTGGCATGAGAAGTGGCAGGGATGGCAGTGGTGGGAGGAACAGGGAGAGGAAGATAAGGGGCAGCAGCGGCAGCGGCAGGGATACATGCATGTGTGCTTCCCCTGTCTGCTACAACCCCGGATTCTTGCCCTGCTACTCCTGCTGCTGCTCCTATTGCTCCTGCTGCTCCTGCTACTCCTGCTCCTGCTGCTCCTCCTGGCTCTGCTGCCCCTGCTGCCCCAGCTCCCCCCCTTGACCTTGCCCCGGCCTCCACTCCCTCACCTGCATTCCCTCCCTCTCCGCTCCCACCCCCAGCAGCCCGGCTCCCCTCGTCCATTTCCAAGGCCCCATCCGTTTGAAACCTTTCCACTCCGACTCCGAGTGGCCTGACACTCTCAAGCCCTTCCCCTGCACCACTAGGGTCCTCCCTGCCATTAGGCATATTATTCTGACCCGCCTCGCGCCGCGTGTCATACTCCTTCCATGCATCAGTGGAAGCAATGGCCTGCACGAGGTCCTTCTTCTTGAGCTCGTCCAGGCGGCCAGAGAACCCCAGCAGCAGCGCCAGCAGCATCAGCACCCACTTCTTGCATGCCCGGAGGTCGTAGAGCGTCAGGAAGTGAGCGAAGAAGAGCCCCTGGTAGTGCTGGTGGGGGGAATGAGGGGTGGGTGCGGAGAGGGGTGAAGGAGGGGAAGGAACGGATCAGTAGACGCGACGGCCGGCCTGCACCAGGTCCTTCTTCTTCAGTTCATCAAAACGGCCAGCCAGAGAACCCCAGCAGCAGCGCCAGCAGCATGAGCCCCCACTTCTTGCACGCCCTCAGGTCGGAAAGTGTGAGGAAATGCTGGTAATGCGCGAAGAAGAGCAATAAGAGGCCCTGGTAATGCTGTGTGGGTGGGTGGAGGCAACGGGAGCGGACGGAGGGGAAGGAGGGGAGTGTGAGAGCATGTGCGTGCAAGGCAGCAGCGCCAGCAACATGCGCCCAGAGGTCATAGAGAGTCAGGGAATGAGCCACGAAGAGGTCTGCCGCCCTGGGAATGCCCTGGACGGCAAGTAGGGGTAAAGGGGGAAGAAAGGGTTGACAGGTGAGAGCAGGACGTTCAAGGCAGCAGCGCCAGCAACATGAGCACCCCCTTCTTGCACGCCCGAAGATCACGCAGAGAGTGACAGAGAGGGCGGGCAAAGAAGGAGCAGAAAGAAACCCTAGGGCTTCCCAGGCACCCTTCAACAGCGACCCGAAACTCTAAAACCCTGAAACCCTAGATTTCACTATACTCTCTCACACCTGCAGCAGCAGCTCCAGTTGTATTTTGAGTCGACTCAAAATACAACTGAAACTCAAAAACCCTGAAACCCTAGATTTCACTATACTCTCTCACTCACCTGCAGCAGCAGCGGCTCGCACACATGCGCCTTGCGCAGAAACGCAAATATAGCGTTGAACTGAAACTCCCCCCTGTGATCCACCAGGTTCCACTCCCTAGGACTCCCCAGAAACCGCTCCAACATCCCCCCATACCGTCGAACCTCCTCCTCGCCCACCCGAACCTGCGCCGCAGCCGCGGCAGCTAGCTCCGGCGGCAGGCCCGGGACAGGCCCGGTGATCGCCGCGGCAGCCAGGCGTTTCTCCATGGCGTGGGGGCGGTTCCAAGGCTCAGAAGTGGCTATGATAGTGAGAAGCTTGGGCTTGTTCTTGGCGCCTGTGCGCACCGGGCTGACTAGAGTGGCGAAGAGCTGCACCACTGAGAGCATCTCCAGTTTGATGTCCTCTAGAGTGAGCCCGTGGGCCAGAAACATGTCTTGTAGATGCTGGTGGGAGGGAGGGAGGGAGATATAGGTGCAGAGCGGTGGAGAGGGATATGAGAGAAGAGGGGCTGACTAGAGTGGCGAAGAGCTGCACCACTGACAGTATCTCCAGCTTGATGATGTCTTGGAGAGTGAGCCCCGAGAAACGTGTCTTGTAGGTGCTGGTGGGAGGGAGGGAGAGGGGTGGAGACGGGTGGAGACGGGTGGAGACGGGTGGACCGCGGAGACGGGTGGAGCTTGGGCTTGTTCTTGGCGCCTGTGCGCACGGGGCTGTCGAGAGTGGCAAAGAGCTGCACCACTGAGAGCATCTCCAGCTTGATGTCTTCAAGGGTGAGCCCGTGGCCGAGAAACATGTCCTGTAGATGCTGGTGGGAGGGAGGGTGAGAGGGGTGGAGAGGGGTGGAGAAGGGTGGAGCTTGGGCTTGTTCTTGGCGCCCGTGTGCACGGGGCTGAACCACTGGCAGCATCTCCAGCTTGATGTCCTCTAGAGTGAGCCCGTGTGATAGGAAGGAACATGTCCTGCTGGTGCTGGTGGGAGAGGGGTGGAGAGGGGTGGAGAGGGTTGAGTATGGAGCGGAATGGTTGCAAGGGGCTCAGTAGCATAGAGGGGTGTGTGTGTGTGCATAACGGGTCAGGTGGATAAAGTAAACAATCCTTGGGACATCTCGTAAACAATCCTCCCTCCTCAATTCCAGCTTTGAGTTGCCTTCTCGCCGAAGTCCTCTCAGGTAGACTCTCCAGACCGGGGGTCCTCAAGTGAGAGTCGTTACCCCTCATCTCCTCCGTACCTCTAGTTTCAGGTTGCCTTCTCGCCGCAGACCCCTCAGGTAGATTGTCAGGTGGATTCTCAGGTGATTACTACTAGATACCCCTCATCTCCTTACCTCTAGTTTTGGGTCGCCTTCTCGCCGCAGACCCCTCAGGTAGATTCTCAGGTGGGCAATGGACGCGCCTCCCTTCTCCACCTGGCCCCACCTGGCTCTGTTGCTCAGGAAATCCCTCATGTCAATTTCCAGCTCCTCAGGTGTCATCTTCTGACCCGGAACAGTTGCAATTGCAGATGAAACCGTTCCAGCTGCACTTGAAACTGTCCCGTGAGCAGTTGAAACGGGCCATGCTGCAGTTGAAACCGCCCCGCTTGGACTAGAAACTGTCCCAGATAGTGTACCTGCAGCAAGCGTTACTTGGGGTGCTGCTGCATTAGCTACTGCAGCTGCAGCGAACCTTCCTTGTGCAGATATGCATATCCCTCCTACTTGGGGGGCCGGCCCTGCTCTAGCAACCATAGCTGCAGCAGATTTACCCAGTGCAGATATGCCTCCTGCTGCTGCTGCTGCTCCTCCTCCTCCTCCTCCTTCCTGTCGTGCTGATACTACCCCAGCTGTTGCCATCGAGCCTGCTGCTGCTTTTACTTTTGTAACTGCTTTTGCTCTTGCTGCTGCAGTTGCTTTTGGTGCTACTGCTCCTCTTGCCTTCGGTGCTGTCAGGCTCGGTACCGCTGTGGTTAGGCTCGGCACCGCTGTGGTTAGGCTCGGCACCGCTGTGGTTAGGCTCGGCACTTCTACTACAGCTTTGTCAAGTGGAAAAGTCACGACCATTGGGGCTGTGCTTAGCGGCGCTACTGCTGGTGCTGCTGCTGCCGTTGCTGCCGCTGGTGCCAGTACTGGTCCTACCATTGCTGCCATTGCTGCCGGTGGTGCCGGTGGTGCCGCTAGTGGCAATAGTGTTGCTGCCGTGGAGGTTTCTTCAAGTGTAGAAGTCATAACCATCGGGGCTGTGCTTAATGGCGCTACTACTAGTACTGCTGCTGCTGTTGCTGCCACTGGTGCTGCTGGTGCTGGTAGTGGTGATCGTGCTGCTGGTGCTGCTGCGGCTGCTGCCATTACCGTTGCTGCCACTGGTGCTGGTACTGGTGCTACCGTTGCTACCGTCGCTGCCGTTGCTGCCGCTGGTGCTGGTACTGGTGCTACCGTTGCTACCGTCGCTGCCGTTGCTGCCGCTGGTGCTGGTACTGGTGCTACCGTTGCTACCGTCGCTGCCGTTGCTGCCGCTGGTGCTGGTACTGGTGCTACCGTTGCTACCGTCGCTGCCGTTGCTGCCGCTGGTGCTGGTAGTGGTGCTACCGTTGCTACCGTCCCTGCCGTTGCTGCCGCTGGTGCTGGTAGTGGTGCTAGTGCTGATGTTGTGTGAAGCGTCAAAGACACGCCAGTAGGGGCACTGCTTAGTGGCACTACTACAGGTGCTGCTGTTGCCGTTGCTGCCATTGCTGCCGCTGGTGTCGCGGGTGCTGGTATTGACGATAGTGTTGCTGCTGCTGCTGCTGCTGCCGCTGCTGGTAGCGGTACTGCTTCTGGTGCCTCTGCTGGTGGTGACAGTGGTGTTGGTGGTGGTGGTGCTGCTGCTGCTGCTGCTGCTGGTGATGTTGGTGGTGGTGGTGCCGCTGCTGCTGGTGATGCTGCTGCTGGTGATGCGGCTGCTGCTGCTTCTGCTGCTGGTGCTGATGCTGCTACTGGTGGTGGTGCGGGTGCTGCTGCTGCTGCTACCGCTAGTGGCGTTGCTGCTGGCAGCGCCACTGGAACCATCACTCCCATAACACGCTCCGTCCCAACCATTGCTGCTGTTACTCCCACTGCAACTTCTGCTCTTGAGGTTGCTTCTGTTGCTCCAGCAGCAGCAGTAGGAGCGGCTGCCCCCCTGTCTAATGCCAATCGTCCCTCTACCCCAACCACAGCTGCTGTTCTTAGCCCTTCACGTCTGGGGGCTGCCGAGACTGCCATTGCTTCTTCTGCCACTGCAGGTGCTACCCCCTCCGCTCCTTCTTCTCCCCCTCTCTCGCTGCCATCACCTGTGCCTGACTCCGGTCGAGCCGACTCAGGAGTCCTCTCAACCGCACAAGCCAGCCCCGCTCCTGTGCTTTGAGACGCCGCAACCGCCGATTGCTCCATATCTCGTGCCGCCACAACTGCGGATTTCTCTCTTCCAGCCACAGCCATGGCATGCTCCACTGTGCCGGCAACTACTGCCTGGGAATCGAATATCCGTGTTCTGTCTGCTCGCGGAAGAGGGACTGCTCGTTTGTCTGCTCGTGAGTGGGTAGCCGCCACTCTTTCCGCCTGTAAATCAGAAGCCGCTCGCCTGCCATAGCTCGTACCTGACTGCTCTACCAATGGCCCATCCTGCACCTTCTCTCTGTGTACTGGCACGTCGTTCACAGGCACGTCTGCTATTGGCGCGTCCGCTAAAGGCTCGTTTATTATTGGCGCATCCTCTAGAGGAGCATGTATTACTGGCACATCTGGCTCTGCCAATGCTGCTTCTGGAGCAGCTGAGACTATGGCTGGTGGCGATACTGCCTCAGCAGCTGCTTCTGCCGCTGCTGCCGCCACCGCCGCTTCTGCTGCTGCTACAGCTGCTGCTGCTGACGATACCACCTCTACGGCTGCTGATGCTACAGCTGGTCCCGCTTCTGCTTCCACATCTGCGGCTAAAACCGTGAATACGGCCGCTCTCCTCCCTGCCTCTCCTTGCTGCTGCACTGCTATATTCTGCTGTCCCTGCACAGCTGCAAAGTCTTGCCCAACCAGCGCTCCCTCTCCTGCAAATTCAGGAGAACCTCCCTCAGGTGTTACCCGTTCTTCTGCTGCTTCAGGTGCTACCTGTGTTCCTGCTATTCCTTTCCTCAAGCCACTTTCCTCTACTGCCGGAGCCTCCCTCGCATTAGCCTCGCCGTCTGGTAACCCTGTAACATACCGTGGCACAGATACATCCTCGTGCAAGGCGTCGCACTGAACGCCTGCCACGTGGACATCTGGTGCGTGAGCGTTCGCCACGTCAGCGGCCAGCTGTTCCACGAATATCTCCGCGTCATCCAGCTCAGCATCTCCCATTACAATCTCCAGGTCAATCTCCGGCCCCTCTTCCCCCTCCATTCCTCCTCCCCCCTCCTTTCCCCCTTCGTCTTCCATTCCCCTTTCCCCCACCACTCCCCCTTCCCTTTCCGCATCCCCTTCCCCCTGAATCCCCTCGTCCCCCTCCCCCTCGACCTCTATTCTAAGCTCAATATCCTCCCCTTGCCCGCCCGCCTGCTCCTTCCCCCCCTCCGCCCCCCCCTCCCCCTCCCCCTCCCCATCCGCACCCCCATCCCCCTGCGCTAGTGCATGCTCCGCTACAAGCTGCGAGACGTGCTCCGTTATAGGCTCTGTATCGTACAAGTCCTGCTCACTCCTTTGCACATGCGCATGGGCGTATCTATACCCGTGCCCCGGCACTTGCACTTGTTTTTGAGATGCCTCAAAGATATACCTGTGCCCCTGCACCTGAGCTGGCGCTCCGCCCTCTACCGAATTAGTTTGACTCTCTACTTGCATTTCTAACTGCTTGAATTCGTCCGCGTCCTGCACGTTCTGTCTTATAACGAGTCCCTGATCCGGGGCTTGATGCTCATCCTCGATATAGTCATACCCCACTGCATCAACCACCACTTCAGCTTCTGTCTCCGCTGCCAGCACATCACGCTCCCTCTCTTGCCTCAACGCCACGTCAGCATCGGGCCCACACTCCTGGCCCGATTCCAGCATCAAGTGCTCTGGTAATGGGGGCGCCATTTGCGGCGCCATCTGCGGCGGTAAACGCGCCGGCCATGGATCTAACCCCATCATACCCCCCACGCCGGGATGGTGATGGTGATGGTGGTGATGGTGCTGATGGTGGTGGTGGTGATAATGATGACTCATGCCTATCTCCCCGTATGAACCAGATGCCTGCTCCATGGACCCATGATGATGCTCCAAAGATTCTGGATGCTCCATCGTGCCATGGTGATGAATCCCCATGACCGGATCCAACGGTCCAGGATGCATCACATGAGCCGGGGGCGGCGCCGGCGGACCGTGATGGTGGTAACCCGCATTGTAACTTGTAACCAGAGATCGCGAGGGGTGGTATGGGAGAGGCATGGGTCCCGGGGAACCAGCATTCGGATGTGCATGGAACGGGATGTGCATATAAGGAGGGTGCGTGTATAGAAAGTGCGGATGATGCACCCCCGCTATTGGCCCCGAATGCGGGTCACTGGCGCCATGCGAACCGTACTCGGACCTAACACCGTACTCAGACCTGAAACCGTACGGCTGTAGTTGAGACGCCTCGAAAGGCGATACCGCGTTTTGCGGGATTTCGTATCTCGACGCCTCCGTAATCTGCGCTTCCGCTCGCCCTGCCACGTCAGCATCGCGACGTCGAGCCGCTTCTTCCTCCTCCCCCTCCTCCTCCTCATCATCCTCATCCACATTCACGACTAGCGAGTGATTCACGCCGTGATGTGCGGCGGAATGAGCGGCGGGATGCACGCCGTAATTCACGGCGTACCGATCGGCCTCAACCAACGGGACTGGATGGTGATACGGAAGATGATGATGCGGAGGAGGAGGATACATCGGAACCGAGCCAGGGAATCCTGACCGTCCATCCGCGTCGTCGAATCCGGCGGTGCCACCTGGTATATCGTACGGCGATGGGAGCTCTGAAGGGTCCATGGCGACGGGTCTCTGTTACAACGGACCTGAAACGACAGGCATTGTCCACGTCAGCGACAGAACCAATGGGCACTTCCCGGAATGGCACTCTAAATATCGGGAAAACTTGCACAACGGGAGTTGATACCGCATTAGGTTTCTGGTTAGGGTTAGCACAAATTGATTCCATGGCGAATGGAATTCTGCGGCTATGAGTCTGAAATTCAAGCTATTTGCTATCGCTATCCCTGGAGAATGGAAACGAATCTATTGCGCCTAGAATATTACCTGCTGTTTGACTTCAACCTGACGCTTCCTCAGGCTAGTCCCCGTGTCGCCTGAGGATCTGGGGGGAGCTCGATCAAGTCGGGAGGAAACCGACAGTGGCCAGGTGGGGTGGTGAGAAATGTAAGGCCAGACGCGAAACCCCGAAATGCTCCTACCTATGACAGCTTGAAAGCAGCAAATGGGGTGACTAGGAAGGTAGGTCTATCCTACGGCAATCCCAAACAGGGACCCCCCTGATTTTGCCGATTTTAGGGTTTGATGGAGGAGGCGAGAGGGGAGGAAGAGCGAAACCCCGAATGCGGAAACCCCAAATGCGGCTGCGGGGTAATGAAAACCCCAGGCTGAGTGAAACCCCATGTTCAGGGGAGGTGCGAGGCAAACCACCGAACTGGGATGATAATGGTTGTATGCAATTGCTGCTACACCACCTTCAAAATCCGGCTATATGAGGTTCACAAGGTACAATAATCACACTAATGTCTATACACCGTGATCTTCATAAAATTAATAAATACAATCATACACCAGCACATAGGCTGAACCATGAATGCCTGTTTGAACTGGAAGGCGAAATTATACTGCATGAAGGTGTGAGACCTGGCTGGATGACTTTCTAATGTTTACTCTCAACTCTCATCATAACCATACCAAACCACAGAGAACCCAGCCCAACCCCCTTGGAGAGGCAGACTCTGGCTGGGTGAAAATGAAGCCAGCTCTTGCCTTTGGGCGAACACGGCTTGCATTTCGCCTCGCTCTTCGCCAGTCCCTTCCGTCTCGCCACGCCAGCCTTGAAGACCTGCCAAGCCAATCACTCACGAACCTTCTGCCAACTGTGTTACACACACAGAACCATATGCAAGGGCCTGACAACTGTTTCGACACATCAGAAATCTATGGCTGTAAGAATGAAATCCTAGCGTACCTTGCGGGCAAGTGTGGGTCCAGCGCGTCACCTTGTGGCAAGTTATGGCATCACATGCCAGAATAAAGTGCGACACGAGTAACGCGCCTCGATCCATGATTCTTGAAACCTTTGTCTCCATTCCGAGAGTGTGCGTTCAAATGCGGTTGAAAGAGGTGAATTGCGTTTTGGAAGGATCAAAGAACTCCGTCCAACGGTTCGGTAGGATATGGGCAAAAAATGGACGCTAGGTCACACGCCCTCCTTACTCGTGGGACTCTCCGCTCCCATCGTCCGATCGTTCACCTCTGTACCTCTCAGAAAATGTTTTGAAACAAAACAAATCACACTGTACCGGTTTTTATCTGACCTCCGGTCCTGTCCCATCGTTTCGACGTCTACTCGTCACAGGCTGTGGGCACTGACCACTGAGCACAGCATGAGAAATAGTCGGCCTGCGCAACTCGTTTTTCTTCGTCATCCAGCATAAATCTCCTGCCATCCACTCTCGAACAGCTTTCACCTTTCTCAGTACCAACTTGTCACCCTCATCCTCATTCAAGCCACGTTACGCTTCAAGCGAAGTCGTCATTGCCCTCATCAGGCTCTTCCCATCAGCTCCGCTGTAATTCAATCGTTCAACGTTTGAGTAGCGTTTCCTACACGTCAAGAATCGTTCACTCAACTCAACTCAATCAAGCATCTCGCGTCCCGACGTCCTATCTGAGCCGATGCTTCTTTCCAGCTCGATAATGCAGCGCGCATTTCGAGGAGAGTTCTCCCAAGTTTTATCCGCCGGGGTTCTGCTGCTTCTGGTGTGCATAATCCCGGACCTTGGGTCTCTGCACGTGGCGAGGGCGACGGACTCTAGATTATCTTTCGCCAGCAAGACGACGGTTCGCGAAGGCGCGCTGAGGTCGAAACGGAGTAACCACTTCATCTTTCTTCGCCGGCGCCTTGCGGCTGATCACGTCGTGCCAGACGACGTTACGATTGGGACAGTTTCGCCAGATGATGTTACCGTTACAATGAAGAGGGGCGACAAAGCAGAGGCTGAAGGCCGCGCTACAGGCAACACACTGCCCTCGTACTCTACGGACGGTGCGACGTCGTCTAGCGATGACCGCGATAGTCGCGAACGGGCGGGCGACTCAAACGAAGTCAGCGTGCGACGGAGTCTGACTTTCGCAAGCCTGCGAACTCAGCAGCTGGGGCGACTAGTGGTCGAGAGAAGCGGGGAAAACGATTTTCTTGAAGCGGGCCAATAGCGGGGTGAAATCGGACGGCTCGGAACGGAAAACGTCAAAATCTGACGGGAAAGCAGTGACGGGAGGAAGCTTCATTGGCAGAGTCGTGCACGAACTCCTTGCGGGGTCGTCGTTGAAACGCGGCGACGAAACGAAGAGAAACCAACAGGAAAATAGGCCTGGGAGTGCCCCTAACAGTGCTAGTACTACTACAAGTAGCACTCCTAACCAACCAAAGGCGGCATCAGATAACGTGCATGCGGCGCAAACGCGGGCGGCATGGGAGGACGACGACGACTACGAGCCGGCTGCTATAGTGGGGCGAAAGCAGGAGTGATAGGACTCTTGAGACGACTCAAAGATCATATGCTACAGGGCGGAAGCAGGAGAGATAGAAGGAGAGATAGGAGGAAGAAGGGCGCGGGGAATCTTTTGAGTGGACTCAAGGTGTGCGGAAACATGGGCTGCATGGGAAGGCGACGACGACGACGACGACTACGAGCCGGCTGTTACAGGAGGGCGGAAGAAGGAGAGGTAGGAGGAAGAGGTAGGAGGACGGCGCAGGGAAGCTTTTGAGTGGACTCAAGTGCGTGGGAACCCGGGCCGCATGGGAAGGCGACGACGACGACGACGACGACGACGACTACGAGCCAGCTGTTACAGGAGGGCGGAAGCAGGAGAGGTAGGAGGAACGACGACGCCAGGAAGGATGGAGGAGGGAACAGAGAGAGGTGTCGAAGTGGGACGTGTGGTATCGAGAGGTTTCGTCACCAGCCGGAAGCAGCACAAGAGAACGTGCGTGCGGCGGACGGCCGCATGGGAAGACGATGTTGAATACGAGCCGGCTGTTACAGTAGGGCGGAAGCATGAGAATATGGAGAGGGATAAGCATGAGAGATATGAAGGACGACGAAGGAAGGAGGGAGGAGGGCATGTTGAGGGAGCCATGGAAGGAAGGGAGGTTGGTGTGCCTTCCTCTCCATCTTCCCTCCTCCATTCTCCCTTGGTGGGAGTTGGCGTGGGAGAAGGATTTCGCGAGCGACCATCTCGCACAGAAACCCTAAAGAACAGCGCGCCAGGGAGGCATGCTATACGCGCTAGTGCAAAGCTGGTCTTCAATCGAGGCACAGTTTTTTTGTGGATGTTGGTGATCCCAATATGGCTCCTTGGCCCATAAGGACATGGGAATAAGGCCAGCCATGAGTGAACCACTACCCCTTCCAATCTCCCTCTAGGTCCAAATAGAACAGCTTTTCACATGCACATGGAATGGACTCACGTTACTTTTCCAAAAGTTAATTGAAATAAAAATATATTATTCATAGCAATCTAAAAGATAATCATCTACGTTGCTACTAGAGGGACAAAGCACATCACCCCTCATCCTCTAAACTTTCTACACTATTCCGCAGATAACAATGGCCTTAGAATCTACTATACTCAGCTGCTGCTATAGATCAGTTCCCATGTGTTGCCGATGAAACTTCTATGTAGCCTGTCAGCCCCTCAGTTTCCTCAACATTCGAAGCTGGCTGGTGCTGTGGTACAGTGTACCCCCCCCCCCCCCCCTCCCTTCAATTCACTTTATTTTCCACTACCAGGGAGGGAGAAGGGACCGATAAGGGGCCAGAATCGAGAATCCCACTGGTTATTTGTCCAGTGTGATGGTTCCCCTGCTCAGCTGGCTGGGCAGCACCGTAGAAAAAAGATGCCCGTGTTGCTTTCAGCGTGGATTTCATTGGTCGGCTGTTGCTCGGGCAGCAATCAGCCGCGTCAAAAACTCCCGCTGCTTGGCATCACTGTGATTATAAAGGGGTGACGGGGAATAATGGGTAAGGGGATCAATGGGAAATAGAGAAGAGAAAAGAGGAATGGAGAAAATGGGAGAACAGGGAATAATTGGTGGGTTGGGATGGGATGATGTTAACATACATGTGAGTAAACTGACTGCTTAGGCTTTTTTAATAACACAAATATATGTGCTAGCTGACTCTTACTGCCACATACCTGAATAGCACTTGTGCATGTTGGTAGGTCTCATTGTACATAAACTCCACTCCCTTCTCTGTCAGACACCTGCAGTGATTAAAAGGGGGAGGGACAGAGGGGGGCACGGATGGAGAGGGGGACACGGATGGAGAGGGGGAAACGGATGGAGAGGGGGAGATGAGGCAACAGTAAGGCGACAAGGGCATGTGTAGTTACGTCTCATTCTTGAGGCGTCCCAAAAACAGTAAGGCGGACAAGGGCATGTGTTGGTACTTCTCATTGTACATAAATTCAATACTTTCCCCCCAGGCACCTGCAGTCAGGAGGGGAGAAACACAGGAGTGTGGAGCAACGTGAGGAAACAGGTGGAGGGACAAGGGGGCACTTGTGCATGTTTCCCTCTCCTTTTACAAGAAAAGATGTAGGATTCGTGGCACATAAACTCCACATTCTTTTCTTGCAAAAAAAGAGAGAAACGAGCACATGAGTAAGCTATGGTTAGATTATAAGAGCATGCGGGACGCACGTCTTGATGTGATTATAACGAGCATGAGGGACTCACGTTTTGATGTGGTTGGACGGCACAATTTGATCCTGGCCGCCCATTAGCACCACTGACTGCTGACGTGGCATCTCCTCAGGCCACAGCATGCATGCATGCCTGAAGGTGGGATGTGGGATAAAGGATGGAATGACGCAGGTGAGAGGCCAACACAGTCACACATGCAGCCTAGGCATGGGATGACGCAGATGAGAGGCCAACACAGTCTCACATGCAGCCTAGGCATGGGATGACGCAGATGAGAGGCCAACACAGTCTCACATGCAGCCTAGGCATGGGATGACGCAGATGAGAGGCCAACACAGTCTCACATGCAGATGGATCTATTTTTGAGGCACCTCATAAGTCACAGATGAGAGAATAGCACAGCCTAGGGATGGGATGACTACAGAACGTTTTCGTGATTCCTTCTTCCTCCAC